TGCCTTTGCCTTGCGGTTGACAGAAGAAGCGAGAGCGAAATTATTTCCTTTTTTCCAAATAGTCGGAAAGCTAAGCCTTACCTTAAGTGCGTTATTAATCACTTGAATTGCCTTCTGCCGCTGCCTATGCCACCTCGTCGGGGGAATATACGCCTGTGTGTAAAACCTTGGCTTTTGAGACTCTCTAGTTCCACACTCTGGGTCAACATATGGGACAGAAATATAATACTGTAGCCAATTTACACTTTTCCTAGGGCTCGGGTGCCCGTTTTGTATAAAAGAGGCCCCCAGAAGGTACACGCAGGCCGCTGACGGTCATCCTGCCGATACCAAATAGCAGTAGCTGTCATCCAAAGACAGTAAAATTTCACATGTTATGTTCATGTAGAAAAATTATATTTATGTGGAAGGTTAGGGAGTTCTGTGATAAAATGTAAAAGCAAATGATTAATTGCAGAGATGCGGAGACTGATGGAACTGCTGTGCCCCTTTGACGGTCTCGGGTGCCTGCAGAGTCGTTACACCGGGATTTGCCTGCCGATTAGCTTGCTCCAAAATGGCTTTTCTTCTCCCCTGTAAGGGGAGAATTTTCCGCTGAGGTTGCTGTAGCGTGAAGTTGATGAAGCACAGGTCTCCTTTTGCCCAAACGTTAGCTTTTCTCTGCATAAGCTTGTTACGGCCGGCAGTCGAAATCACGCTAGAAACAAGAGAGTTTTTCTGCGATCAGAAAAAAACAGTTCCGGTTTCTCAAAGGGAAGTAGAACTTGTGCCTGATCCTTGAGAGACCAAAACGTCAACCTTAAAGGCGTCGCCTGAGTATCAGTAGAGAAACTTTTGCAGTTTGTTTGATAGGACTCACATAATTCATTCATGGCTTTACCATGTGAGTAACGTGTCCACGTTGTTAAACCTTTGGATCCTATTGCAACCTCAGACACTCTATGCAGACCTGTCTATCTTGCATCAAAATTAACTCAAGGTTCCTTTCGAGACTTTAAAAAACTTTTTAAGAGTGTGTTTCCCTGCTGTGCTTCAGGAAGCCTGGTTATCCTGAGTTAAACTGTGCAGGGTTCAGGGAGAGCAACAGCCGCGGCCAAAAATGACCCAGCATACCTTTTTCCTGCTTAATATCATCAGTATTTGAAAATGTTTAATCTCATCTTTTCAAGACGTACAGGTGAACCAGTGTCCCTCTGGGAGCTGGGGATTCCTTCTTTCCAACAGGATAAGGGTCACGTTTCTAGCCCTGCTTGCCTGCGGCATATAGTCTTCTAAGCTGTGAAATGTTAGTGTATATCAAACTTTGTCAGTGATTCAGGGCTGAACTGTAGTCATCCTTGGAATCATGCAGTTAGAGTTTTACAGGGGAAAGCTCTGAAACTTCATGAAGCAGGCTAATTATTTCATCTTTTAATCTGTGAAATTGCTTGGGGAGTTAGAATCCTAGAATAAGTCTCTGCTGATAAATGAGTAGGCAGAGAGTCAGTAAAAAAGTCAAAAATGTCCGATTAATTAATTTGTCATGTGGTTCAGCAATTTATCATTCATTTCCATAATTAATCGTAAAGACCTGAAATTTGTTGTATTGGTATCATCTCTGTTGATACTCCCACAGCAAGTGGCATAGTTGTGTAAGCATCTCTATTTCATACAAAATTAAGGTAAAAATTAAAAGAATATTTCAAGCAACAGAAACATTTAGAGCTCATGAAGTATAGATAAAAATCTAGCCCTCCAATACTTCTTCCCTTCCTGTGACCTTATATGAGCTCAGATAACCTTGGCGTATAGTTTGCAAAGTATTGGCAATGTGTGCTGTGTGATAATGTGCTTTTTCTTTGTCTTGTTTGCCAGCCCCTCCCCGACACGCAGTATAATGGCAATCCCGAATCAGTGGGGTACCGGCTAAAGTTCTGGCGAGCGGACCTGCAATCTCTCCCGCTGATGAAGGTTATCAACGACCGGTTGGAGAGAGAGTACACGATTGAAGATCTGGAGGAATGGACAGAATATGAACTGCAAATTCAGGCTTTCAACGCCATTGGGGCAGGACCATGGAGTGAAGTAGTGCGAGGTCGTACACGGGAGTCCGGTAAGTCAAAGGATTATGTCTGTGAGGAACGTGTCAAAGAACGTCAGTATTTTATGTCATTTTGTTCCAGCTTTTTTTTTTTTTTGGCTTGTTGATCCATTAAATCTAAAGTGAAAAAAGCAGTCTGTTCATTTGCTGAAGGCAAAAGGACATGAAGACATTTTGAAGGAGTTCTTTTATTTATTTGTTCATTCTACTTTTACCATGTTTTCGTATATAAATTGATAGGTTGTTTTTTTAAAGCAAACAAAATAACCTCTCCCCTCTCCTGCCCCAGTTTGGCAGTGGTATGGGCAATACAAGATGAAGCTTGCACACAGCCTTCCCTCACTGAGCAGTTCTCTCGTTCTTCATCCCGCATAGCTTGCTTCCTCGCCCTCCCTTTTAGCTCCATTGTCCTGCTTCTAGTTTGGGGCAGATTTTCAGACAGCTGTGGTTATCTGAAAATTAATTTCCAGAACCAAATACTTCTAAAAGGGCACAAGTTATTTAAGAGAGCTGATTACCCATATGGAAATGAGGTAATTATCTAAGCTTTAGATGACATGTTTTCAAAACGGTCTGCTAAAATTGTTTGCACAAGGTTATTTAGACATAACCTTCATATATACAGAGAATGTAGGTACTGGATTGTCTAGCTGATTTGTGTATACTACCCTAGGGCCTTCAAATATCAGAAGTAAGCAAACTCAGAATTTCACGCAACAGTAAATTATTGTTAGTTCAGTAGCAATACTGAAGAGAGATCTTGAAAAGCTGCCGTCTAGCTGTTAACTTCCACAAAACCTATTTCTCAAACCTCCCCTACAAGCAACTAATAAATTTGGGTATCAGCTGCAAGTGAGTAACAAAATGGATGACCTGTATGGTTTAAATATTAAATAATAAAAGCTCTTTGTGACCTGTAGTTAAACGAGGTTCAACTTGGACATTTTGCTACATATTTTTTCATATTTTTCTTCATAAAAAAGAGTTTTGAAATTTAATACTATACCTAATGTGCACTTGCAGACACACAAGTGTTTGTCTGTGTGTACTTTATACCACGCAGCACTACTTAGTGCGCTTAGTGCGAGATGTGAATGCACCATACGCTGCAGGATTTGATCTATTGGTTCAGATAACTGTCCTTTGAACTGACTGAAGGAAAAGCTGAACAAAGTCATCCCCCTCCATTAAAGTGTTGTTTTTGGGGAAGCAGTAATTGGAAAGTTATTGCCAGAGGTATTTTAAACAAAGCACGTTTGTACTGGAGTTAAAGATTATATGACCCAGACAAAATAGTTCTGAAGTGTTCTGTATCATAATAAAAAGATTCTACATTTTCCATTTTCTCCTTTCTACTGCTCTTCAAACACTTCTTTTGAAACGTAGTAAATACTAAGATTAAGTGATTTCATAAAACCTTAGGATTATAGTGCTTTTGCTCAGCATCTAAAGATCAGAGGTTACATGTGTGTATTTGGCATTTCCTCTTGCAGTATTAAAAAAAAGGTGGACTTGGAACTGATTATAGGAGGCAAACTGAAACCAGGATCAAAATAGTACAAAGCTATGATCTAGGCCATAAGGACTCTTTTTTTTTTTCCATGTATTTTCTTTGATACTAACATTTAATTTCTGGAATGTAGCAACTCGTGGCTCAGACTTTTGGCTGCATCTTTTTAGAATTAGAATATACAAGAAATTTTGGCATAGTAGCATGCTGCATTGGAGCGAATAACTTCAGTGAATCGGCAATCAACCTGTATGCGCAGTCAGACTGGGTTAAAATAAGAATAAAAGATATCTAAAGCCAGAGAAAGAAGTCAAAGCAATTTTTTTAGGTCTTTCTTCTGAACTATGAGACAAATTATATTCATCACTTACATACTTATGTTTTAAAAGTACTTTACAAGCAAGTCTCCCAATTATTTGTTTCCATTTCATAGATACAGAGATTTATTTTGACTGCTGTTGCAGATTTTTAACATCCCTCATAGCTATCCAGAGGTGACTTATCTGAGATCACGTGGTTGTTTAGTGGCAGAACTAATAGTTCTGGGTTTTAGACCGTACAAGGAGCCTAAGAAGTCAGAGCCCAAGCCCTATATTAGCTCTTGGTATCTAATGACAGTGCAATGAAAATCCAAACTCTTTATTAAAAATAAAGCTGTACTTGAACACTTCTGTTTATTCTAGGATATGTGATCATATCCTAGAGTGAGTCAAGTTGGAGGCCTGTGGCTAGTGGTGTCCCCCAGGGGTCAGTCCTGGGTCCAGTCTTGTTCAATATATTCATCAATGACCTGGAGGAAGGGACAGAGTGCACCCTCAGCAAGTTTGCTGATGATACTAAACTGGGGGGAGAGGCTAACACACCAGAAGACTGTGCTGCCATTCAGAGGGACCTGGACAGGCTGGAGAGGTGGGCGGAGAGGAACCTCATGAAGTTCAACAAAGGCAAGTGCAAGGTCCTGCACCTAGGCAGGAATAATCCCATGCACCAGTACAGGCTGGGGGTTGACCTGTTGGAAAGTAGCTCTGCCGAGAAGGACCTGGGAGTGCTGGTGGACAACAAGTTAAACATGAGCCAGCAGTGTGCCCTTGTGGCCAAGAAGGCCCATGGTATGCTGGGGTGCATTAGGCAGAGTGTTGCCAGCAGGTCGAGGGAGGTGATCCTGCCCCTCTACTCAGCCCTGGTGAGGCCTCACCTGGAGTACTGTGTCCAGTTCTGGGCTCCCCAGAAAATATTCAGACAGAAATGAGACTTTCGGGTTTACTGTATACCTTAGCTGATAGCTTAAGATACATGCAGATCATCATCTTAGCCTTTGACGAGATGAATACAAATGAGGAAATGATCAGATTGTGTCGAAAAGAAAATTTACTTTAAATTCAAGGAATCCAAACTTTGGTAGGTAAGATTGAATTCAGGTCCCATTTTTAGGACTTAGGTGCACAGAATCTAATCCAAACTTTCAGCCCACTCCTATCATTTCATTCATCACTATTTATTTCACTGATAATGCCAGATTTGGCAAAATTGCTGTTTGCTTTGCCCTTAGAGAGAGACATGCCTCTCTCTAAAAGAGAGAAATGAAATGAAAGATATAGACTCATAAATGACAGTGTACCAGCAGTGAATCTTCATGTCATGAAGGGAAACACTCTGATTTCTTTTCAGCCTGGAGAAGAGAAGATTGAGAGGGGATCTCATCAACGTGTACAAGTATCTGAAGGGGGAGTGTCAAGAGGATGAGGCCAGCCTCTTCTCCGTGGTGCCCAGCAACAGGACAAGAGGCAATGGGCAGAAACTGAACCACAGGAAGTTCCATCTGAACCTGAGAAAAAACTTCTTCACTGTGAGGGTGACAGAGCATTGGAACAGGTTGCCCAGAGGGGTGGTGGAGTCTCCTTCGCTGGAGATATTCAAAACCCGTCTGGATGTGATCCTGGGCAATATGCTCTAGGTGACCCTGCTTGAGCAGGGAGGTTGGACTAGATGATCTCCAGAGGTCCCTTCCAACCTAAACGATTCTGTGATTCTGTGATATCACTAATAGCTGAGCACACATACTAACAGTAGAGGAGCATGCTATTACAGGTATTTTCTGGTTTCTGAAGTGCTTGAATATAAAAAAGGGTCTTGAAACCAAAGAAACTATGAGAGGATAAATAACGTTGTGGGTTTTATAGACCCAGCTGTAAAAACCAGGTGGGAAGCCCTAAAAGGAAAATCTGGACTACAGTTGCAGGAAGCTGAAGAGAGAGTGGAATGACTTAGGATTTTTAAACAGGTCAGATTTTATCAATGCAAAATGTTTTTGTAATGTTAGGAATTAAATAAGTCATTTAATTTTACAGTGTAAAATTACTGCAGAACAACAAGCTCAGTTTCCACTCAATAGATTGTAAATGATCTTAGGTATAACATACAGAAGGCCAGAAAATGCTAAGACAACCTCTAATGTAGTAAAACAACCTTGACAGGATTGCTTCCTTTTAAATATAAACCTTCTTATTTTCAAACGGTTCATTTCAAATACACCTAACCCACTGCCTTAATATTTTGGGGCTCCTAATATTCAGGTACGTGAATGTGCATAGCTACTTGTCTTATAAAATAAGCTACTACACAAGCATGGTCACATATCTATGGCAAGGATCAATCTCTTGATGTTTCAGAGACTGACCTTCATGAAGCAGTTACTGTGGTGAGATAAAGCATCGCTTGATAATTCGTATGGGGTCCAATGTCACTGCAGAGATTTATCAGTTTATACAAGCTGAGAATTAGGCCTGCGGTATCTAACTCTATAGGCAAAATGGCTGCATACTGCAGCTATATTTCTTCTGCCACAGACGTAGCTCTAAACTTGCACCTCCTACTGACATCAGTATACCAGCTTAATTTTTACTTTGAAAAAGCAGTAGTGGTTGTTCAGCTAAAATGAGCTGTGGAAACGGAGACAACCACTGCATCACATTATCTAGCTTTCTCAGAAAGCCAGAATACAGACCAGCTTATTAAAAGCTGATTTTGGCCCAGTTAGAGACCTAAACAGAGATCCTTTGCTCTATATTAAATACAGTTATGTCAGAGGTAGAAAAGGGATGCATGATCCTAGATGCCAACATGGATAACCTTAAAAACTTGAGTTCTCATTATAGTTCCAGTGCAAAGCACCAGTATCTCTGTAATTTCTTATGTTTGATTTTCTAAAGTACATCCTGCAGCTGGCAGCTGGATTAGCTAATCATTTAGTTTCAGTGTTTCTGGTTCAGTTCTTTAAAGCTCTGAGATTTTTTGGACATTACTTGGCTCATGTACTGTTCTTGCAGGGTTACTAATGAGAACTCTGCTTTGGCGCTTGTAACAATCTCTGCCATGTAACAGTTAAGGAAACGGCATTAGAGGAGGGAGTCTGCAGAGGAAAGAGAGGGATCTTTATGCCTCACTCAAGATACTAATCAGTCTTGCAAAACTTTGAATCGAGATATCCTGAGATGTGAGAGGAGTCAGAGAAGTAAAGGTTACATTTGAATTTGTTCTTAAAGGACCAAGCAAGGTCTGCTGCTTGATAACAGATTGGTAACAACAAGATCCGTAATATCACTTGCAGACTCTGAACTCATTCATTCCTGTTAGAATAAAATTCTCAATGCTAAAATGAGGATAGCATCGGGGAATGAAAACAGAGCAAAACACGCAATGAACACGAGTATTTCTGCCTTTTAAGTGTTGGGCTTAGATTCCTTTCCAGGGAGAAGGGAGCATTCACTGCTTTGGCTGTTGCTGGGGACTAAGAGGAATCTGGACTAATAAATCTTCAGATACGCCGTTCTCCCCGTTGTTAGCACTGCTCCCCTACCAGCGGTGTGATGGTAAGATGTGCCTCAGAGCACGCATGCATGGGGGCCAGCCTAGGCACAACCTCGACCTTTTGTGAATTCGGGAAATCTCATGGCTACTGATCAAAGAGGAAAAGAAATATTTGTAAAATAAAGCAACTTGCTTTCTTGAAAGGATTTGAACCAGATAAAATGAAAATAAACGTGGCTGCAAAGGGCTGCTTTCCTCTACGCATTCAGGTTTCCTGTGACCCACCTCCTCCCTTTCTCTCTCCAGAAGTGATTCATGTGGGAGTAGCTCTTTGTGAAGATCTACAGATAAAGTTATGGCAGGTGTCCAAAGACATTCATGGCTCCTGGCAATCTATTTTCCTTTAACATAATTATATCCTTGTGGGGGATAAATCTAGGAGAAGATTTAAAAAAAAAAAAAAGCACTTCAGCACTGGAGGAAAAGAATCAGATTTTAGTCTGCTGCATTGTCGTGCGATGATGCTCTGTTTCTCATGTCCCAGTTGATTGGTAACAGGGAAATTGTTTCAGAAATGACTATCTCTGCAGTTAACCATGAGTGCACAAGGGTCGGGTCTGGTGTATTCTTTTTTTCAACTTATATTAATTCTAGTGTCATCCTCATTATCTTGTTCATGTTGCTAGGAGCTTCAGGAGCTAGCCTTCAAAACAATAGATCTGTTCTTTCATCTAGACAGCCAGGAAAGCATTACTTTTGGCAGAGATTTGTGCTTCCTTTTTGTGATGTATTCAGGACCTAATCAAGCCTTACTGTCCATAAGTGCTTGTGTAACATAACTTGGTGAATGTTCTCTGAGGTCTGACAGGTGTATCATGCTTTAAAAAAAAGATTGTACCCTTCAGATGGTGGAAATGCCACAGAAGAAAATGTGAAAGGGCAGAATAAAATGTGAACTCTTAAAAATAGCCTCCAATTCTGCTTGTGTAACCGCATGGTATTAAGCTTGCCTACAAAAGCTTGCTGTCGTGAGGTTGTTCTGCAGTGGTTAGGGTTTTAATGGCATGAGAATATGTAAGTTTGCTCCTCTCTCGAGTCAGAGAAAATTACAGCCTTCCTGTGCCATCAGTTCTAATGATGTTTTTAGTTTCGTAAGAGCCAATTTTGCAACATAAACGAAATAGGCAGGTCTTTCATTTACGCCGTATCAGTCCCTTAAAATACACCTTGTGTTAATGTATCTGTCTGTAATTGATGTATTGCAAATGCTGAGCACTATCTCATAATCAGATGGCTCAGAGGTTAGAGCGTTTCTTTCTGAACTGGGAGGGCTGGGCGCAATCCAGTGGTTGGAATTACTGCAAACTCTAGACAAGATACTATAATTTCCTTTGAGATAATATAGGAAGCCAAGGTGGCATAAAACTTGTTAGAGCAGATCATACCATGAGATAAATTGCCATTCATTAAAGATTTCTGGCTTTTGGCACAGGGAATTAAAATGTATAGGAAAGAAATATTAGGGAATAGACTCCTGTAGAAGTCCAATCCCAACTTGATTTTAATTACTGCAAATACGTAGAACCTGCAGTTTATTCATGTCTGTCAGTATTTATTGTCTATCTGTAGCCAGTGACGAGCGTTGAATATTTAGCTCTCTACCAACACTGTGATTTCTGAGATGTGCTGGTAAGAAATTGTGAGGAGGCTGAAAAATCAAAGACTGTGTAGAAAGAATGCAAGAGGAGAAGGGGTTGTCTAGAAGGTATTCCAGGCCTTTTGGATTAGAATACTCTTCTAAGGGATGTATAAAAATAGCTCGGGAAAGAGAAAAGTAATTGGCCTTTACAGAACAACCCTAAGCAGATAGGGAGAGGGAGGCTTACCTAGCACTGATTTCTGTAATGCCGTGTGATTCCAGTTCCCTCTGCTCCTCCTGAGAATGTGTCTGCCGAAGCGGTGAGCTCTACCCAGATCCTTCTGACATGGACCGCAGTCCCCGAGTCCGAGCAGAACGGGCTCATCCTGGGTTATAAGGTATGCCACTGGAGTGTCACATTTACTTGATTTTTAATACCTTGCTTGGATATGTTTTTGCGTTTGTTATTTATTATTCACCTGTGAGATATTAGTATTTTCCATAACTCACCTGGAAAAGATATAGGAAATGTGCTAGTTTTGAAACAGGTAATCTGCTTGGTGAATATGATCTCATTTTGTATTTGGTGAAAAGAGGAATCTGAAATGCACACCTCTTTTTTGCAGTCCTCATGGAATATAATGGTTTTCTTTCTGTATAATCATTTTCTTTCTGTATTTGTATACGTTTATTCTGCAGATCCTTTTTAAGGCAAAAGATTTAGACTCTGAACCAAAGAACCAAGTAATAAGAGGTAATCACACTCAGTCTTTCCTGCTTTCTGGCTTGCGGAAATATGTGCTCTACGAGATCCAGGTATTAGCATTCACTCGGATTGGAGATGGAGTCCCCAGCTCTCCTGCAGTTATAGAGAGAACCAAGGATGATGGTAAGTTTATGGGATAACAAAATAAATATCCTATTTGTTTCACCTTTTTTTCACACTATTTTTTGTTTTAAGTGATGCAAGTGTAGACAACAGCCCAAACTAAGGCTGTTTGGGTTTTTTTACAGTTTTAAACTTAAAGGACTTGATCCATAGCTACTTTAATTCAGCATGGTCCCATTGGTCATGGGCAGAGGATTTGGAAAAAAAACTGAAGTCCACAGTCCCCTTTTCCTCTTTCTTCGCAGCTGGGGAAAAAATTCTAAAAATATGTGTGCTTTGAAGCTTAATATAGGCAATTTCATTTGAAGATAATTTTTAGAGTCCAATTCAGTGAATCCCTATTGAAGTTCAATCATAACTGTAAAAAAAAATGCTACAGTTGGAATCAATATACCCGTTTGGGTCTGATTGGACTGAACTGAGATATGGAATTTGCAACTTCAGTATTCCAGTCTCATTTTTTTTGCAAAAGAATAAAACACTGACCCTGGAAGATGATCAAACTGGCTTCCCTTTGTAATTCCCTCCAATGCTTCCCGTGAGCACAGGGATTCCTAAGTGCAGCTTGATGTGTTGAAAGAACTGGAGCAACCCCCCCTCCCCGATTCTGTTTGAACATGGCTGTGTGCTCAGAGTGTTCCTGCTGGTGGATTTTTACGGAAATTTAATTCAGCTGTTAAAATGTTTTTGGCTCTGCAGATGCTGAAGTTACCTTTTGCTTCATTACCTTTTTAGTATTCAATGAAAGATAATGTCTGTGTAAAGAGGCTACTCTTTATTACTCCCAGTGAAAATAAACAAAAACACTAGTCTCTCTTTTTTTCATCAAAATGTTCCCAACAGAAATGGAATAAACATTGGTTTCTACAAACAACTTCATTAAGGTGATTTTGCTGAAAACACATTCAGATTTCTAGCTTAAAACGACACTTTCTGAGGCATGCAGGAGCGTGCGTTGTCCTCGGGAAGAGGGGCAGCAACTCCCAGCCGTTTTGTTAGCTATTTTCTCTGTGTACTGCCTGTGCGGTGCCTTGTCTTTTCTTTGCATGGGAACAAAGAGAAGTTACTGTTAGCAGAACTCTACCAGGAGAAAAAAAAAAGTGCTCACAGAATTGCAGAATACCAGAATATAATAAGAAATATTTAAAACTGTTTGTTTAAGATTAACCCCATTACAGCAGTTCCCTCCTTAAGTACGTGCTGGCAAATGATACAAATTGTTCTTCCATTTCCCTACTCCCGATATAAACATGTTGTGTCTCCTCTGGGCTCGACTTAATTAAAAGTATCATCAGGGGTATTGCAGGTGGAATTTGCGCTGAAGGGGAAATTTTGCGCATGCAAATTTATGAATTCGTATCTGCTCACCTTGTGAACCTGGGACGGTCAGTGCAGCCACCAGCCATCTGTATTAATGTGCCTCTAACCTGCCTCAGGTTCTCCTGCTGAGAGAGAAGTGTTTAAAATGCACATGTAAAGTCACAAGGCAGTTTGAAGCTAGGGCTGATGGCACAGAGAAGGAATATTACTCAATTTCCACAGGTATGGAGAGGATGAAGCTGACACACAATTCCTCTCTGTAAAGGCAGCTCAGTGACTCATTTCACAGTCTGTAATCAGTTATCTGGTGATGAGATGAGGAGGTAGCGTGGTTGGCTCGCAGAGACTCCCCGCTATGCTGCTACGAGATGACTCTCACGGAGGTCACAACTCATTTGTCAGAGCATCCTGGTAAACTCATTTTACAGGAGCAGTAAAACACTGTAGGGTGCTCTGTTTCTGTATTGTATTTGGTGTTCATGGGTGCTGGAGGCGTTCAGCTGCAAACAGAATTCCCCCAGAATAAATGCATGTTATGTATGGATGTAGGCGCCCCTAGCCATCCATTTCTTATTGGTGAGATGCAGCTTGGGCTGCCTCCTGCGCGAAGTGAGCAGAGAACCTGTAATCCCTCTGATGGGCAATGCCCGCTGGCTGATCTCTGTTTTTCTTTCCAGCCCCCGGGCCACCTGTGAGGCTGGTGTTCCCCGAGGTGAGGCTCACGTCGGTACGGATTGTTTGGCAGCCACCGGAGGAGCCCAATGGGATTATTCTGGGTAAGGAGAGGCAGCAGCAAACTCAGGGGCTGGGAGGAGAGGGCTGGAGAATGAGGAGAGCGCTGGCTGTTGGGTTTGCCTTCCTCTTGCTCGTAGGGTTGGAAACCACATGTGAGCAAATCCATGGCTAAAGAAAAGAAGGTATCTCAGCGTCAGCTGAGAGACACAGTGCCCTGCGGCAAGAGTAAAATTCTGCCAGTCCCCTTGGGTGTGTTTCCCTGAGTCGGAACTGCATTTTGGTCATGGCACTCGGTGTGAATTGTCATCTTTCTTTCCATCTAGGTTTGGATTTGTAACCTGTTTGGCTGGCTTTTGGGCAATTTGCCTGTTAAGCTGTAGCAGGGGAGAGTTGCATTTTCCCTTCCTTCCCCCCGCTCCCCTCTGCCAGGCATGCTGAACTTTGCAGTTTTGTGTGTGCTTCTGCTTTATTGCTTCCTTTGGATGATACCATCTGTCAGGTCACAAGGAGTTATCTCACACTTGGCTTTCCATCAAGGGGAATAGGAACAGCCAGGGATGACGAAAATTCATGAAAAACCTTCTTACCTCCCTTCTCCCCTTACTCTTGGGTTGCCTTTCCAGCACGTACGCCAAGGGTTATTTGTGCTTTAAACATGAAGACATTTATAATGTAAGAATCTATTCATGCCTCTAAAAATAAAGTAGTTAATAGTTACATAGCAATTTTGTCTTCAGAGTTCTGTGCTAATGTTAAACACATTTTATAGTAGTTCTAGCAGGTAAGGATTCATCTCAGATCTAAAAATGGAGAAACAAAAACTCTTGCTTTTCATTTAGTTCTCACTCTTTTAGACCCTTCTGCTTCTAATTTTGCTGCTCTAGTTCAAGTTTATATTTAGTCTTTTAGGAATATTCCCCATAGCATTCATTGTTGGGCTGGAGGGGGCCTACTTTGATTGTTACTGTGTTAGTAGCATCCCTTTAAATAAAAGACTGGCCTTGCATTGTGTTTAAATCTTGAATCAGGAATTCAAAGCATTTGCTCAGATGTGTAGTTTCCAAAAGTGCGGGGAGGAGGATCCTGACACCTGAAGCAGCAGGGAAGTCATCATATATGATTCAAAGGCAGCAGCTGCAGGGGTTTTCTGAGCCCAAGAAAGAGTTTGCATGAAACTTGGCACCAGTTAGCTGCCAGAGACAGAACCATGCAGGGTATTGCTGCAGCTTAAGGAAGCTTGACTTCTGGATTTTCTTGTGCATTTGATTTATTGCCTTTTAAGGAGCAATGTCCTGTAAGCTTGTTCTTGGTAGAGCCTGGGATTTGAATCACAGGATGTGGTTAAGGAGAAAAAAAATTCTTTTGCTAGGAATGATGAGAAAGTACAAATGGTACTTTGCTATCCAAACTGTGTTCCAATGTCTTATGTTGCTGCACTCTGTCTGCCTTATCTGCTGAAGCTGTAAGCTCAGCGCGGTAGGAACTCTCTTTTTTCTTTGCACAGTGCTTTGTGCAATATATCCCCTCCTTGGTTCCTGCTCATTACTGCTATGTTGATGATAAAAGCATACAAATATAGGGTTGGAAGGAAAGATGAGAGGTAACCCTTAAAGCATGCTTGACATGTATCTAAACTTTGAGAGTCCCTTATTAATCTATTTCACTCTTTAAATAAATTTGCAGTTAGCCTTTTTTCCCCTAAACATCTAGCTTAAATATCCCGTGGGGCCAGCTAAGCTGGATAGTTCTGGTCCTGCCCTCAAGGGTGATAGTTCCTTTCTTCCTGCACCATATATACTAAAATTGTCATTGTTCTCTTTGTTTTTCTAATTACTTTTCATGTTTCTGAAAGTCTGATGCCTCACACTGATGACAGCATGCCAGCAGAGCTCTGCCACTGCTGAGACGAGGGAACTGCTGTCTCCTAGTTCTTGCATAATACGTTCCCAGTATCACATCCCAGGATACTTGATACTGCCCTGATTTGACTTATTTGTGGCATTGTAACTAAGTAGGTTTATGACCCACTATTAACACCTACCCTTTTTCTGCAATATGCTTCCAGGTCAGTCAGTTCCAGTTCTATAGGTACCTTTAGCTTTTTCTTTGCAAGTGTGATACTTTGCATGTTTCTTTATTGAATTTAGTCTTACTGATTTCAGACTCTCTCTCCTAGTTATCAGGATCACTTTAAGTTATAGTCTTGTCCTTCAGAGGGTTGTAACCCCTCATGATTTGGTTTTATCCTCAAATTTTGGAAGTAGTTTGGCAGTTCTTCAGCCAAGACATCAATGAAAACATTGAACAGAACTGGACTCAGGATATATTCCCATGAGGCCTTATTTAATATATCCTTCCAATTTATTAGCAAACTATTGATAGCAACATTTTGACTATTTTTTTTTAAATGTGTTGTAATACTTTTGCTACAGTCTGTTTCTTTAGGGCCATGTGGGAACCTATCAAAACCTTACTTAAAGTCAATGTAGATTATATCTATTATTTCCACCTGGCCCATTACCTTGTCAAAATGGAAAACAGGTTGTTTTAATGTTTATTATTTGTTCTAGGCAAATACATATGGGCTGTTCCTTGGCATCTTATTATCTCAGGGATGCTTATGTTTTGACTCATATTTTGTTCTAGAATCTTTCTGGATACGGAAGTTTAGCTTGATTTGTCTGTAATTCTTCAGGTATTTCTTTTGCCCTTTTAAAAGATAAGGTACCATGTTTGCTCTTCTGAGATACTCTGGGACTTCACCTGTCCTCCACAAGTTCTTGAAGATAATCGCTAATTATTCAGAGCTTGCTTCAGCTGGTTACATAAGCACTCTGGGGCAAATTTCATCAGGCCTTTCTGACTTGATTACATCTAGCTTGGCTAAATATTCTTTAACCTGTCCTCTATTCTAGCCTGCATCCCTACTTCTATTGTTGTCAGTTTTAATTTGTGTTAAATATCTAGTCGATATCAACCTCTTTTTGTCTTTTTTCTTTTTTTTCTTTTCTTTTTTTTTTTTGTGAAAATGAAGCAACCGAGCTATTAGCCTTTCTATTCTGTGTAATCTGTCCTGTGCTCATCTTCATTCCAGGCAGTGGACCTGTCATCCTTCTGACTTCCTCTTATTTCTATTGTATTTATAAAATCTTTCTTATGCCTTTGATGTCCTTTGTAAATTATAACTCCCTTTGCACCTTAGCCCTTCTGATTTTGTTCCCGTGTGCTAGAGCTATTTATACACTTCCTTAGCAATGTGTCCTGTCTCAGCTTTTTGTGCAATTCGGTTTTGATTTTGAGGTCATTAGTGAGCTCTGAATGCAAACATATTGGGCTCTTGACATCTTTTGTCTGCACAGGGATAGTTGAACCTTTTTTGTCTCTTTTTAAACTGTCAGCTAACCTGAATTTCTTTTTCCCTTAGAATTCCTTCCCAGGGAACTTTACCTACCAATTCCTAAGTCTACCTTTTTGAAGTCTGTTGTCTTCATTGAACAGTTCTCACTCCTCTGTTTCTTTGATAGTAGAAAGATTCATGGAGGAAGTCGTTAGGTGCCAATGTCAGAAAGAAACAAGTAAAAATTACTCCTGCTGGATATTTCTGTAATCTTTTCTAAGAAGACTGGAGTATTTCAAAAAATAGATGATAAACAATGTAGCATTTTAAGTAAAGGTTACAAGTTTATTTTTTTTCCTGCACACCTTTTAAATCTTATTATTGTAATGGACTTTCAAAATGAAATCGTAACCATCTCAGTCAAGTGCACTGAAATAGAATTACTGGAAAGAATGAGTTAGCATAAATTTGCGGTGTGCCCTGTTATTCACTGGTGGGGTTGGAAAGAAAAAAATACCTGCTTTGCAAGAGCAACTTATATGTAGAGCCTTTGAACCAGTGTTCCTGCTCTGCTAGCTTCATCCTCTGAGTATACAAGCACCTTTGCAGCTAACATTTTTGTAATCTATATCAAAACATGTACTAGCATTTCAGAGAGAGATTAGCAGGGTGAAATACTAGCAGGCACCAAGAGGGAAAACTACCTGTTTGTTTGTTTAAATATTTCACAGTGGAGGCCTGCTAGATATTTCCGTGTCCCCTTTTGGGAGTGTTACAGTAACCAGCTGAGCCTTAACTCTGTCTTCTTTTCGGCGGTCCATCCACCTAGCACCTAACATAGCTCCTTCAAATATTATTGAAGAAAAATGATGCATTGCTGTGCATATGCACACTTCTTATCTGTGAGCTCTCCCTGAAAACGAGAGCTCATTCGGCATCCTTCCAGGCCCTGGTTAGTATTCCTCATGGTATTCTTGTATTTAACGTTTACCTGAAGCTTGTTGCAAAAGAGTGGAAGAACTCCACTGAGAATTAGAACCAAAATTGGATATAATCCATGTTTACAAATTCATATTTTGATCCTAGACTGCATTTGCACACCCGCTGGCCCTTAAACAGATAAGCAGTAAAATCAACATACCGGATTGCTGCTCAGCTAGGCAGACCATAACCCCCCCCCAATATCATTTGGCTTTCCCTAAGTTCTGTGACAAATTAATAAGTGTTTGTGCCTCTGGTGCATCATGGCCTGCATGAACGGGTGCTGTCAGTTCTGAAGGGCTTTGTATGGTGATGAGCTTGAAAGCTTTTTTATATTCATGGTCTGTTGTCATCTTCCTGCCTGTTTGCTTTGGGGAATCTAGTGGTTGTGTTGCAATGACCTAACATTTAACGGGCGGTTCAAACTGTTGCCTTTTATTGAGTTCAGAAAGCATAGCTCATGAAGCTGCTTGCAGTTGCGCAAAAAATACTTTAAAAGAAGCTAATGCAAAAATAAGCCATGTTTCAGTGAATAAATAAACTCCAAAGGAGTAGGTCTTTCAGGCTTTTTTATGCTAGTTTGGCCTGGTCAATGGCAAGGCTCCCAGTAACAGAAGAGATTTGGGATCTAATGCTGTATATTTAAAAAAAAAAAAAAAAAGTAGGAAAATGAAGAAAACACCATGAGTTCTTCTGATCGATCATCCAGAGGATTAATGTTCTGTAAGATATTCCTCTCCCTAAATAGTTTGCTCTGGTCACCTTTTAAAGATTTTACTTTCACTCATAGCCTTTGATTTCTTATCTAAAGCACATCTTGTTGTCATAATCCAGTAAGGGAAGGAGCTTCCCCTTTCCAGCTGCTCCCGTCGCACACAGACTTGTTGGGTTTTCCACTGTGTAAACTGGTCATGCTCCATTTTAAAAGTAGATAATTTATCTGCAGTTCTAGTGGAATTTCCTGCATCTCCTTGCTCTGTTACTGAGAAACACCCGTTTAGCTCCCAGCCTGCCTTCATTCTGCACCAGTGTACGCCGTTTGCCCTAAGTCAGCATTGTCTTTTCATTAAAGCAGTTCCCTTCCCTCCCTGGTGTATTTTACCTCCTGGATGTGTTTGTAGACAGCAGTCGCATCCCCTGTGAGTCTTCACTGGCCAGATTAACCAGCCAAGCTGCCTGAACCCCTCTCTTAAAGACTCCTCTTTGTACCGGTTTCACTTCATGTAATTCGTCTTTCATCCCCCCCTACCTTGGATTTATGTTGTAATCTTTCCAGACAGATTTCTGTGACTTTCTGTGTTACTTTTGTGTGTCCTTTTTCAACTGCAGCTTTTATAACTGCAGTCTCATTTTTTGCCTCTTATAGCCCTCGAGCATCCATTAATTTCTCTTTGAATGCTTTCTATTTACCTCTATTGATTTGGCTTGTTTGATTTCACCCAGCATTTCCTACCTTCTCCCATCCTTTGTTGCTGATGCATCAACCTAATAATTTTATCCTTTTGATCTTATCTTAGCCCTAATTATTATCCAAGCTGTGCCTTAAGTACTGCATCTTCTGTGTCACTCAGAAACAAGAAAAGCAGTGCTATTTATGACAGAATATATATTGACTGCCCCAAATTGTAGGAGAGGAGAGTGATCTAGGAGACCAAATTAAGGTACTGAGTATCTCTCCAGTGGCTTTGTAGGTAGCAATAAGGGAGCTGGGTTCAGCTGCGGAGGTTTGATATGTACCTTTGAATCAGACTGAGGGAAATGTAAAGGTGAAGTCTCAAGTTGTGTAAAGTTTTCCCGAGAAACCCAGGAAAATAGATACTTTCCTAGACTATCAGCCAACGCAGCAAATGTAGGAAAGTACAGCGATGCTTTTTTCACAGAGAGGCACTGAAAGGGAGTTTTTGTAGCCTGTCAGAGAGACAGTGATTTCCCCTTTCTCATGGCCAGATTGGTTTTCACACTAGCCAATGATTCTTGTATAAGTTATTGTAATGGCCTAGATAAATATGTGTGCCTTTGGTTAATCTGTGCATATTTGTAATTGGTTTTCCAGCATGAGTACCACCATTTAGCAGTAAATAGTTATCTTTCTATTCCCTCCTTACGTTTTAACTACACTTTTTGCTTTAAAAGGTTTAGAAAAGAGAGGAAATTGTTCAACAAGGATATATCCCAGATAACATACTTATCTTTTAATAACTAGGTAAATCAAGTTTGCTATTCTTTTAATATTCTGTGTTTTCCTCCAGGTCTTATTCTTAATGTCTTATGTCCCCTTATCAAACTTAGTTGCTCTTCCTTCATCTTTCCTGCTGCTGTAAAATTTTCCCCAGTGCCTAGCTTTTAGTATTTTTCCTTTTTACTGAGATCCTGTGCCTGGGTTCCCACTTCTGCTTTCTGCACATTCGTACAAACAGGAAAGATCATAATGTATCCCTTTTGTCTTGCCATTGCTGTATGTCTTTCTGTGGGCTTTGAAAAAGAGAATTAAAATACTATAGCATTAAAGATACAAAAATACTGTGGTGACGTGTATGGGACCAGAAATGGGAGAGTTGATTCAATGGATAAAAGGAGGTAGTTTGCAGGTAGAAAAATGTAATTATCCAAGTTGAAGACTGTAAATCTTTGCCAGGATCTAACCATGCTCAGTAGCTCTGAAAGTCAAGCAACTTTTTATCCGCGAATCTAACACTAACCACCCAGCTGAGAAAATGTTATTCCAAGAACATGCCTGTCACACGCACTGCCCAGTCGCTTCTAGAGGTGTCTGTGCCATCAAGTTTGCTCCATGTAAGGCAACTGTGGCTATTGCCCACATTCCCTAACAGCTTCTGAAGAAAAAGAGGTAAGGATGTGCTAGTGAATCATTAATGCCACTGCAAGAATCATCACACAAAGCTAACGCCATCGGTATCTCAATTAAATTCTGGTGTTCCTGAGAGAATTCTGGTGTCCTGAGAACACCACAAATGAGTGTAGCATTTACTCTAGGCAGTGCATGAACTGTCTTTGTGTCTTTTTTGTGCGTGGGATGTGGCAATTGTTGCATACTCACAGCAAAAAATAAATGCTATCCATTTTGTCTAATAAGCACAGGTAAGATAAGATCCTTAGTTTTCACACACCAGCCTTCATGAATGAAGCATTCCAGGTTCAGCTCCGCTGTTCTTCTTACAGCCAAGAGTTGGTGGGAGTTCCAACTCTGGCTGAGATATTAATTCCAAGAGGAAGAAATGGTGTTGGGTATCTGCAGACCCCTTTGTAGTTCAGAGGATCAACAGAGCATTGGCAGAACCATGGCACGCCTGAATTCAGCTGTTTTGATTTGGATTTGTCGGCTGCTCTCTGCCCTGCATAACTTGATGAAACATTTAATCATACCACTATATTCAGCTTGGGCAGTGAAGCCCCACACCAGTTCTGATATTAATTGATTTTGGAAGTTAGCAGCTGGACTGAAGGTTACCAGTGAGCTCCAGAAGTGAGAGCCTGATTCAATTGCTCAGTCTAGAAAGTGAGTTTGAACATTTGGCAGCTCCTCTTTGGGGGGCAGTTGTTGTTAGTGGTGCGTGAGAGCTCTGGAAGCCCTACTTTGCACAGTTGGATCACTAATAATATATGATAAACTGTAAACTCGTAATTGTCAGGCTGGTTTGACTGCAGCTTATTGTTTACAATCATCAACAAAATTGATTATTAAGTGCTGCATGGTTCAAGGGGGACCTCAAAGCTTGCAGGCTTCTTCCTTGGGCTGCAGACAAGGGCAGTAATGTGAAATGACAAAGGAAGGATGCTTTTATTGGCAGTTCCAGCATGCACTGTACAGTTACGGACAAGCAGGAGAGCTGAGAAAAAGGGAACTGCAAAAATCGGAGGCAACTGTTCACTTAGGTGGTATGAATGCTGCGCAATGTGGGCAATCCAGCTGCTCTGCAGTTGAAAAACTTTGAGCTTCATTCAGTGCTGAAACTGTATGAGAGGGGAAAATAGTGCACAAGTATATGTATTATGCATGTGTGTGTATGTGTTGGATGGAAAACTGAAATAGAGAGCGTTTTCTTGAGCTAGCTCAACCAGATGAGAGTAATTGCATGGACTCTGTTTGCTCCTCTCCCTTTTCTTGGGGTACCAGCACCCTCAGGAAAGATTAAACTGTTTTAGTATCTTGTTTGTATGAAGGATGGAGAATGAAATAAGGTTCGTGGTAGATAATGTTCAGTAGACCCTTCTGTTCGTCCCAGAATTTCCCCCATAAGGAACTGCACCTGACTGGGAAGGGCTGATGTACAGCAGAGTTGTAAAGCACTAAAGGAAGCAAATTACTTTGTTCTCAGGTAAATAAGTAATTATGATAAACTAGTAGCTCTGGTGCTCTTTTCTCCCTACCAGAAAAATATAAAACAATCCTAACCCTCTTTTGTTGGTGCTGTGATTTCAGGATATCAAATTGCCTACCGCCTGGCCAGCAGCAGCCCTAACAAGTTCACAACGGTAGAGGTTGGCTCAACAGTCAGGCAGTTCACTGCAACAGATCTCGCCCCTGAGTCAGCATACATCTTTCGGACATCTGCCAAGACCAGACAGGGTTGGGGGGAGCCACTGGAAGCTACGGTGATCACTACAGAAAAACGAGGTAATGCTTGCAGCCACAGGCTGAGGTACTTTCTGTTGCATGCCTTGGAGCCTGTGCTGCACTTAGGGGAATTTTAAAAACAGGTTACAGCCTGTATACCTCCTCCTTCTCACCCCATAAACCTGCCCCTAAACTATAGTAACATCATGGTTTTAGAAACCTGGTGAGCAAGACAGACTTTTATGAGACAAAATTCTCCTAAGCTGCCAGGCTGTTGAAGATTGATTTTTCCATCAGCCGCTATATTAGCCATATGCAGCCTCCTTCTGCAGTCAGATCTTTTCTTTCAGCTCTCTCATCTTCTAGAAAGTTTGCAATCTTGAGAAAGAAAGTGATGAATTAATTATATTGATTAGGGAAGCCAAAATGAGAGCAGGTGGTGTTGCAGGATTTCTCCACACAGATCCTCCATTGCACCCCACTTCTCACCTAACGTGCTAGTAATTACTCTGTCCTTTCACTGCCATACACTCTAGCAGAGCATTTACATCTGGATTGCCTAGAATTTTTCTGTTTCTTCCATCAGCCACAAAATGGTTATTCAAGTTTTGAATCCTCAATCAAATTCTGTTCTGTAGGGGAACTACTTGAAGAAAACAGGAGTTATAGGTGTGTAAATAAATCCAGATGCTTAGATACTAAACATATTAAAAGATGACAGGCGTAAGGTATTACAGAACCTGGTCTGCATCGTTATTTCTTGCTGATGCTTTGGCTCAAGAAATGGCTTGACTCTCCAGTCTTAGACTGAATCTGCGGAGCTGCCGGTTAGAAGGATTATATTTTGTATTTGTAAAAGAATTTTTTCATTTGGAACTAAAATAGAGTGTACTGGTAGAGAACAAAAGTGTGAGCTTTCCTCTGGGCTTGTTCCATATGCCATGTTCCACTGCAGAGCAGGTATCTCATCTCCTGAGCTGGAAAAGTCAAAACTAGCCAGGGTGATGGTAACAGCATCAATCCCTTGTGCACTGTTGGACTTGGTGCCACTCTGGCCTATTGTGCTGTCTGGGTATTGATCTTTAAGAAAACTTCACCTTCAAAAATTACAACCATGCAACCTCTGTGATTTATAAAATCACAGTTCAGAGAGAAGTGTACTTCAGCAGACACCTAGAGCAGCCCCCCACAGACATTTCAGCTATTGTTCCCACTTTTGTTTGAGCTTGTGTGCCTGGGTCCTGGCTCTTCCCTCAGTCTTGCACTATAATACAACAAATTATATTTACCTTTTAGTTCTTAAAATGTCACTACCCAGCAACCTCTCATTTTAAGTCCTTTCAACATGAATGCAACAGCAAGGCTTTCCCATGCTTGTCTATCACACTGTTTGCCCACAAGGTCTTCCTTATTGTATTCCTGTAACATTGCCTAAAAAAAAAGAAGCCATTGGCCTGTTATTCAACCACCAACAGGGAAGACCAGTGGGGTGCATTTCAACTAGCTTTGGACTGTCTGGTTGGTGTTAAAATTCCCTCTGATATAGCTCGCCAGGTCCTGTGCGGTCTTCCCAGTGCAAAATAGCACAGTCCTCAGAGACAGAGTCTCTAGAACTGTCTTAGGAAACTTAAAGTGCCTCTGCTAAAGGTACTATCCATCAGACAGATTTATCAGCTCAAGTTTTCTTCCACCCTTGTCTGATTGCTGTCAAAGTGGAAGTTTAAAACACCCCAACATGTGAAAGTTTCAAAAAAACCCAACATACCCAACAAAGTGCATGCTAGAAGCTCAGAGCATAGAGGAGCCTCTCCTTTTCAATAGAATGTGCTCAGATTTCCCAGGCCGAGCGCAGGCCGTTGCTGGATACACAACAGTTCTGCAGTAGCTCACTGCAGAACTGCCAGCTCCACTGCGAGAACAATGATCCCTTGTTGCTATCAATCCTTTAGGGTTATCTTGAATAGGCAAGTCATAATGTAAAATGAACCCTTTCTCTTTTTGATGGATGGCTGTACTGTGTCTGTGCGCACGCTACTGAACTGAGTCCCAAGGCTCTGAGAGTTAACTGAAGTGATCCCATATGTGGGGTGGAGAGAGAAATATGTGTAACCTCACATCGGCAAGACTGATATGAGGACATGATAATGACATTTATCCAGTGCAGCTATTCTGGTAACAAGTAAATAAATAAATAAACAAACCCAGGACTTCTATGCACATGACAATAAATATTCTAGAATGAAAAAAATATTTACTTGCCATTAATAAAAATGCATTTAAAATCCTTGTAGTACTTGATAGTAAGGTAGGCAGACAGTGAAACTGGTCACTTTTGTCTGTTTAGTTCCTTGAATAATCCCAAAATAAAAATATATTTTTTATAGTAATAATCCAAAAATAAATAATCCCAAAATAAAAAAATATTTTACAATGATGCCAGTAATTTACAGGTTCCCAAGCTGGATTCTAACTATGCTCTCTGGAGATGCTTCAGCAGTGCTTTGAATCTGCATAGCGGTATGATAGTTAGCACCAGTGATCAGGGCAGAGCTGAGTCAAACGTTCGGTACCTAAATGTAGCAAGAAATTATCCCATCTGCCATTAAAAGGGGTCCATTGAGTCATATGGACCCCTTTTAATGGGGTCCATATGACCCCATTAATTGTGCAGTCACACATTCCTGCACAAACAGCTCAACTTGGCGTTTGCTTGTGGCTAAGCCCCCACAAATAAACTCTTTATACTAATGTTTTTGTATAAACAGTCAGGAAATATATCTCGTAGTACAGGAGATTTTAAGATCTCCCATTAGCAGCAGACAGAACCCCAGTCATGGGAGACTGACTGCAAGATCTGACCTGCCCAAAACTGCAAGCTGGATAAAGCTTATCAGCAGAGTATTAAATCCCCACAAGACACTCACTTCCCCTGATAGAATAACCCTGAATACCTGTCTCAGCCTGTCAGTGTAATGACCTTTTGCATTGTACTCTGGATCACATGCTGCTGGCACTGAGAGCTTCCTACAGCTAATAGCTTACAAATCTTTTGGCACTGATGTCAGCCAGGGTGTGCTGCAGAGAAATACCAGAACATGCAGGGAATGTTTTTAGGGGGTGGCAGGGAAATGAAGTGCTCACCATTCAAAGCTATGAAGAATCATGCAGTCAGAGGTATGTTTATGGAAACAAGTGCTGATGAAGTTGAATTGAATTGCTTCTCAAAGGCAAGTCACTGCAGCAGTGTCTCCAATCAATGTCTGCTTTATTACATGCCACACATTTTAATCAGAATCAATAATCTTCATGATAAACAATTAAACAATTATTCCTCACTCTATAGAGTTTCTCTATTGAAATCGATGGACTGCGGAGACACGCTGATGGGGAAAGGAGATCTATATTGAAACGGTTAGGGACTGGCATACTCACACCTGCATTTCCATTCCCCACCTCAATTAAAGGTGTATTGTTAATTACTCTGGAGAAGTGTCTCTCAGCACTGGGACTGGCTGGTTTAACTTTGCAGTTCAAGGTCAGCCAACGTGAAGGGAGGAAGAAGGAATGTCTGAAAGTGCAGACACTCGAACCCCAACACTGTATTAACTCCAGCCTGGGGTTTGGAAATGCAGCAGCTGCAGTGGGCTGCTCGTGGTTCCTGGTTGCTTGCCAGAGAGAGCTGGTGCAAGGATGCAGGATCTGCTGTAACTCCTGCACTTGGACTCCACTACACATCAGCCTCTTCCAACTCATCTCTTCTTCTTCATGCCACGGTGGGGGAGCAGCTGGTGGGAGAGGGAGCTACATAGCACAGAATAAACTTGTCTAGCTAGAGAATGCAGGCCCCTGACATCAAGCGGTGAGCCCAGGATAAGAACGTGTACTAGTTTACAGGCAAATTCTGTCAAAAGAGCAATTGCAGCTGGAAGCACACCTGAGTTTCGTTCAAGGCTTCCTTGCTCTGTTTGGCTGCTGGTCCTACAGCTCTAATGATACTTCCTTAACCTGCCACTGATTTGGGCATCTTCTTCTAGAAAAGGGTATAGAGAGGGTGTAGGTGTCCTCCACTTAGTTGCAATGTCTGTTTTGTGGGCTGTTGGGGAACATGGCTATTCAATGGTGACCTTTTCCACAGGAAAATAAAAATCAATTTTACTGCTCTTTGCAGTAGAAGGCTAAGGAAAGGTATGGCTTGCATCCTTCATGTGGCAAATCCACCAGTGCAATCTCCTGTGCCATTACTACCGTGAAGATCCATTTAGCTCTTACTTTTTATGTTAACTTCAACTTCTTCTCAAGGCAGTATCAAATTATGGTTTAATTGCAGAACGACCAGCACCTCCCAGGCAGCTGATGACCCCCCAGTCTGATGTGTCATCACGAAGTCTGCAGCTAAAGTGGGTCCCTGGAAGTGATGGATCTTCACCAATACGCTACTTTACTGTACAAGTGCGAGAACTGCCAAATGGAGACTGGCAAACCTACTCCTCATCCATCAGCCATGAGGCTACATCTTGCATTATTGAAAGGTACCATATCAGTCTAGCATAGAAATTCCAACGCTGTCCGCTTAAAGCAGTTTGGAATCCAAAGCAAGCGTTACTCAGCTTCACAATCTCTTTGGGGGATACAGGTAAATGAGGGTCACTCATCCGGTTTTAGAGACAGCGCTAGGAACAGAAGTTCAGAGTTTTCTTGAAGGTCATGCAACATATCTAATTAAAGTTGGATTGGAATGGATATTTTTCAAGCCCTTCCTAAAAGCTCAGCACAGTAGATAATGCTACACAGACTAAACCCATATCTAGCTATGCAATGCCCTGGAAAAAACAACTAGTTAAAAATCCTTTCAGTAGTGACTAATGTTACAATTCACTCTCATTGTGGCATTGCAATTATCTCTATGTGAACTCTTCCAGATGAAATGAGAACCATTTTTATCTGTATTTTCCATACTGAAGTTTATAGATAGCATCAGAATGTTTAAACTTTGTTATTCAGCCTTCATTATATCCTCAGCGATGCTGTTGTAATTAAAGCCCTTGTAACATCTGCGGAAGCAATTGTATGTCTATGAGAAGGTACTTGTTTTGCTGTCCATTCCCCCTGCTGACTGACTAGTACAAATCCGATTGCCTCTGAAAGGCCACCGGCTTTTGGAGACTACAGTGTTCAAAGCATTCGGATGCAGATTTTTAAGGTGTGTTATAAAAACATCCGTGGCTATGGTATATGGCTGCTCACTAGTTGTGTGACAGAAGATATAGATACATTGCTATCCTTTTGTCCAACTGCACAGAAAAAAGAAAACTTGACAGTTATAGGACAAATATAGACCCGATTCATTGGTGGAGTTGTACATGTCCTGAATTATACCCAGTATCTCAAAACCTCTAAAATGAGGGAGACCAGCTATGTCATTTAGACTCGACATTGTCATTACTGAAAGCAGAGGAGCTGTATTTCAAGAAAGATAATTCAAGTTGCTGTAGGAAAGTGAATGTCCTAATAGGACAGACTACTGAAAGCATTTCTTCTCTCCCTTGCTAAAAGCATTTTCCTGTGAAAGTCCAGAAGAGCAGCATGTGCGTGATACTAGAGTGCTGCCCATCAGAATGCATTATCCCTTGGTGTTTAATCATTCCTTACGAGTAGCTTTACTTGGGCCTGTAGTCAGTGTTACATCTGCCAGCTGGTGGCTAGACATTACCAATTAATTAGCTAAATCCTCCATAACTTACAGCTCTGAATTTCTAGGCTCTGCATGCAAGTCAAAAGGCAGCCTCCCCCACACCTTCTCCCTTCCAAGCCAAGCCAGAAATAGCTTTGCTAAGGTTATGTCAGCTGGAAATTACTCTTTACATATCTTAAAGCACCGCATATATAAAAGAACTGCAGGGAACCTGTTGTTGCTGTCTCTATTAAATAATCCAGGTAATAGCATTAATTTGAAATTCAATAGGAATAAAATGCACTGATCATACAGTATAGTCTAGCGGATTAGTCAGAAGGCTGGCATCTGAATTCCAGAGCCAGCTGTGCACTGACTCACTGCCTGACTCTAGGAACATCACCTGCCTTCTCTTTTACTGTGAAATGAGGATGAGCTGACCCACAGATGTGTTTTGAGGATGTCTTAGAGAAAGGTTACACAGAACTTTGAAAGCTGTGTTTTGCATATCCATGCAAAACTCTAATAGCAGCACTTCTTGTGCTTTCCAGCAAGCCCCAATCACAGGTTTCTCCATGAATTGCTACTTAATGACTGTTTTCTGAAGCCTGATTCAGTTATGAATCCATGCTTGTTTCCAAGAACTCAGGCTGCAGGGAATCGGAGAAGATGCTGGTGACAGCGGGGGTGTGAACACTATCATGTCATCAGGAAGGTGGGAGAGGCTGGAAAGAAAAGGTGATATGGAGAAGAGACAAACTACACTAACGGCTTTAGTTGCCAATGGGCAGTTTTTTTGTAGAGGCTTGTTCTGAGGCAAATTGTGGTGATGTGGGGAGAATTTATCCCTCAGCTGTATTTTTACATTTCACAGCTTGAACCCATTTACCTCTTACAAACTGCGAGTGAAGGCAACTAATGATATTGGAGACAGCGACTTCAGTGCAGAGACTGAAGCAGTCACAACTCTGCAGGATGGTAAGCGTGAAGAAGAGACATGTTGGAGGCATCCCCATGCAATGGGTGCTCTGTAGTGCTCCTGGGTTTGCTGGACCCGCTGCAAGATGTTCTCCACTGCGACTCCAGTCTGTGACTTTGGAGTGGGTGGAGTGAATATTCAACATCAAACACAGTTTTGTTCATGGGAGATTGATACAGGTAGTAATGAGATTTGGCTGAATTAATAACAGGCAGTCCTAAGTGTCCTGCTGTGCCCTCTGATAATGAATCATTCTTTCAGTCTCCAAATGGAATTAAACTCTGTTTGATTGGCTTCCAAACTCTACACTAACCATTATCTTTGCAGAATTTGAATAATTTACGAGAGTTCATTAAAAATAAATGTAGAACCATGCATACATTTGAAGAAGTTTCCTCAATTGTTTTCACTCACAATCCACATCAGTCTGCAATATGGCAAAGTTGTTGAGATATAAGTAAGGAGGAGTGTGAAGCTCCTGCAGACATGAGCATTTAATCCGGCAGATCAGGGCCTAATAAACTGTGGATGACATTGACCAGACGTATTTTGTTAGCCTTTGAGATCAGCTGCTGATTCCTTGATTGTATAAAGCCAATGCCTCGATGCAGAAATAGCTCCAGTGTCTCGAATGAGACTTCCAACAGATAGAGGAACTCTCCAAAGAGTGAAAAAGCATCAGTATTTACCCTTTGACTGGGAACCTGGGTAGCACTAGGATACATATGTATATACAGTGCTAGGAGTTAAACAGCATTCAATGCTGCACAGGGAATGACTTGTCAAATACGCCATTAAGATAGGAAGATAGCAAAGAATTTTGTCAAGGAGTGTTTAAAGAACATGATCTTGAAATTAGAAAACTGGGAGATGGAGCTTAGGCGTATCTGAATTTAAACTAGAACCCATGTAATACTCAAACAAATAATGTGTCTAACAGCCTTTTAAAGACATCCCGACTTTCTGGACCTTTTTGAAAAGTAGCTGCTGTATTGGTGCAGGTTGTAACTGGAATTAATGAGGCAGTACTGACTCACTGTCTCAGAATTTAAAATTTTATTTTCAGTTCTCTTTGAATTTGGCTACAGTGAATCCTGGCTTGTGCTTGGCCTCCTTGCAACACAATGGGGAAACACTGTGAAAGCTTCTCACCTCCTTAACAAACTGTGAACATTTATTCTGCTGAGCAAACCTGGTGCTGCCACTAGAGCATTACGCTGTGGAGGGCTGTCGGCTCCTGATAAGCCTTCACTTCTTTGTACTGGAGCTGATACAGTGTGTGTGCGCGCGTGTGTTGTAGGCCATGGCAGAGGAATGGGTTAACCCATGGTAAATCAAGCTGTTCTAATTTAAATAATCTGTGACTACATGACACCAACTCCTAAAAGCAATGCGATCTTGCTTCAAACGTGGCAAAAATGTCTTAGAAAATTTGGGAGCAGTTTGCTCCTGCTTTCAAGTGGACACTCAGCTGGTTTAACTGCCTTTCAGATGCGTATCCCATTGTTTGTGAGTGGCTGGCACAAGGCAGCTTGCTCCAGATTTGGGCCCTGAGCTTTTCTCTTATTCCTTCTCATGTTGCCAGATAGAGCAAGGGATGCATGAGAAGTAGCTGGCTTCTGCCTGGATTGCAATATGCATATCCACTGCATTGCTTTTGAGACCTACCATGTTGTAGCCGGGATAGGAAGTTCAGCAGTGAATAAAGAGAATTTGATGAATAACCTGTCCATTTCCTATCCTTAGTTATGATTGGTTTGGTTACCTCTTTTTCTTGTTTAGTTCCAGGTGAACCACCCAGTTCTGTGTTAGTAACTCCCCACACTACTTCATCTGTCCTTGTGCAGTGGCAGGTAGGTAAAATGCAAAAATTATGTTGTTTCTCAAGCAAATTTCGTTTATTTTGAGTTGTTGGCCTTACTGGTACATTGTAATGGATATTTTCCTGAGCTTGGAAGTATTATGGTAAAGGCAAAGGACGGCAGCCAATTCTTCGTTTTCCTGATCTGGGCATTTATTTTAGTGATGGATGGAAATCTCTGGCTGTTGCCCTTACTTTGTGCCCCATGAAAGAAGCCTTGGGAGGTAAAGGAGTTTCTGTAGAGATGCACAAGATCTTTCCTCTCACAGATTATCCAGTCCTTTTATTGATATCAAAAGATATGCATGTGTACATACAAAGCATTCAACAGATTGGGGTGCTGGTGAAGATCAGGTCACCAAAAGCTCTGTCCTTTTGTCTGTATGCTGTCTCCTTCAGCTGCTGAAATAATCAGAAGTACTTGCTGGGTCTGAGGTCCTGTTCATACCTTTGAGGAACCCACATACGCTTTTGGTTCTTTGAGGTCTAAAAACTGAGATTTCTTCAGAGTAAAGGGAAGCAAGTTTCAGCTCTCCTCCATAACTCCACCAGAACACCGTAACTCCACCATCACCATAATGAGTTAAACGTGAAGTATTCGTGGCAAGTCTGCATTTTATATAAGCATTTCCTATGCTTTCCTTTATCTGTAAATTCAATACTGACCTCCTGGGATATGCTAGAACATTTTGTGACCCGGTCCCTGAGACTTCTTTTTGTGGAGTAAGCATTAATAGAGGGAACCCAGTGGGGTACTACAAGTTATCTGTAACCTATCTTGGAAAGCCCCTGCGCACCCTGCTCCCGAGACAATGTTCTACACACATAATAAGGATAGCTGTGGACAGATTGCATTATAGTGAAAAATATACATAGGCATTTACAGTACAGATGGGGCTCCTTGCATTTTGGAAAAAATATATGTATGAGGTTCTGTTTATTGCTGTGCAGCAGCATTTCAGAAATATGCCTGGCTGTACTGCTGGGTTGCTGGCCCAAGTTCATGCAGCATAATACTAAGTAGCTTCATTGCTTACAGCGTGTTGAACAAATAGAAGACACATTGAACAGTTTTAGCAAAGGAATTATGGTGAGATGTAAATCAATCTCCCCACCTCGAAATAAAGCCCACAGTGAAGAAAATGGTATGCAAAGAGAGGACAAAGAGGATGTGAAGCATGATATACTGTAGAAATAAGCATTCCCCCAATTGACTGGTTATTGATGTGTAGTTAATGTGAAATAGGTGTTGTTTAGGTAATTGGATGCCTTTTATGTCTTGAAAATGAAATGGAGTTGTTGTGCCAGAGCCATCTCAAGGGGGTTGTGGGTGATTACATGTCATTACTACACATATATTAATGGGTGCTGGTAATTCAGCCGTACTGTATTTTTCAAATAAACAAAAATCTTTAAGTCCCACAATACCCTACAATTAACAAGAAGTTTCACCGCAGTGTTTAAGGAATAATATGAACTGAAAACAGCAGTCAGGCTAAATGGGAGAGTAGATTTTCAAGCAAAGCTAAATTTTTAACTTTGAGCTGTGTTAATAATTCACAAAACAAACTCTAGATGCACTATCTGTGTTTTCAGCTGCTTGGTCCAATCAGTCCATTATTTTTAAATTTAAAGTGGGAAGAAAATAGGTAATTTCCATTGAGGTCTGTTGTATCAATAATGCAAGGTTATTTCAGATGTTCTGGATGATGCTATAGTTAGCATCAGGAGTATGTACTGTTGTGCTTCCACCTCAGAGACAGCAATTATTCAGGCTTAGATTTTTTTTCTTTTTAAACAACACAAAAATGTTTCTCTTACCTCTGTACAACGTCATAGGTTGCCACTCATAATCATTTTACCTATTTTGGCAAATCCCTCAAGCCTTTCTCTGAATAAATACTAAATTCTAAATAATCCATTACATCAAAAGCAGAGTGTTGTCCGTGAAAGACGGATAGGAAGGGGAAGACCTGACCTTTCAGCAAAGTACACTTTTCAGGAAAGAATCATCATTTCCATGGCGAGGAGCAAGACGATTTCAAGCCATTTATTTTCTGAGTTTCCCTATCCTAAATTTAGGGAAGGGAAAAAAGGGAGAATCAAATGAAGGCGTAAAACCCCCCATGCTTACTGTCATCACATCAGTGTGGTACTACAATGAGAGATTAAGCTGTATCTGTTAGTTAGCTATATGGCAGAGCATGGAGTAGTAGTCTCTTTCTTAGATTCAGTAGTGTTTCTCTTTTAAGATTCTATAGGATAGTCCACCTCCAAGTTTTGTCTAGAAACCTCATCTTTTGTTTTTAAGTGCTCTGTTACACGTTCACCGATTAAAAAGTGAAATAGGAAAAGACACTGAATCTTTACAGGAGTACCTTCCTTCTTGATAATGATTAACTTATATCCAACCTGAAACACAGATCCAATTAATGTTCATAATATTTTCTCAGTGTGGAGTTTATTTCTGTGCTAGACAGGCTGTGCTTTTTTACAGCCTCTCTCCTCCTTTGCAGGGATGTACTCGAGATGGTAGGACAGAGCCTCCTTTTACCCTATCTAGGAAGAAAACAGTCCTCATGCTTTATGCTACAATTCCTTCCTACCAGGGCAGAGAGAGGCAATGATATTGCCATGCTGCAGAGCCCTTCTCTGGTAGGACACACAACTAAAGCAACTTCAGTATCATATAGAAAACAAAAGAGGAAAGCCAGAGGATTAGAAAAGAAAAAAAGATCATGATTGATATGCTTGTAATTGCCAGTAAATAATATCTCATCTTCCCTCTCCTGCAGAGGAGAACAGTCCTTTGAGCCGCTACATGAGCGATCGTATCATCAGCCAGACGTGGAGAAGGCTGTCAGTTTCTTTAGTCTATTTGTTCAGTCCCTCGCACAGAGGGTTCCAATCTGTGACTAGGAGGGCTGTTGTACAAGAGGTTGATTTATTTTCCTTGTAAAATGAAGTCTGAGGGGGAATATGATTGCTCTTTTTAAAATACATCATGGGAGTAAACGCCCTATAGGGAGAAGAGCAATTTAAGCCAAAAGACAATGTTAGCGCAGAAACAAATGGTTATAAACTAGCTATGAATTATTTAGGTTAGAAATTAAATGAAGGTTTCCAGCCACCCAAGTGGTGAGGTTTGGAACAGCCTTCCAACAGGAGTACTGGGAAACGGAAAAATTAGCTTGCTTTCTGATGGAGCTTGCTCTATCTGTAAAAAGGATTTTAAGAAGTTGTTTCCTGCAGTCAGGAGGGGCTTATCCTGGTGGTCCTCAAGGTCTCTCACAATTATGTGTTCCTAGGCCATTCTGTAATGCAAATGCTAAATAACACTGAAAGTCGGCCAGAGCTTCTCCAAAGCATGGAGCAGAACAGTGAATGTGGTTCATAATGATGAATGAGGCTCTCCAGCCATGCAGAGCAAGTACAGCAAGATCGTGGGACTCTTTGGGTGGCTTTTAGCAGACTCCAGATAGGACAACTGAAAAAGAAGCCGGCTTTTTGCAGGAGCAGTTTCTGCTCCTTTTCGTGGTAGCTGTGAAGTTTTCTTATACTACATTTCCTCTCTATAGCATAGGCTTTTCTTTTTTGATTTCCATAAACTTCCTTAATTCCTTCAGCTCTTGCCCAAAGAGACATGCACTGAGAAAGGACAGTTCTCCCTTTGCTTTTGCTATCATAGTAAAGTAATGGAAGATTCTTGTCACTTCTTGAAGCAGATATTACCAGATATCTGCCTACTTTCCTGTTACAATATTCGTCTTACTTTCTTCATTAAAATTACATATGGTATTACCTTATCCTGTAGCAGTGTTTCACACCAGTGGTTAATTTTTTAATGATGGACAAAGGTTTTTTTTGTCAGTAAAGTTCTCAAGACACCTAGGGTTCTTTCTGGATTAAAGGCAAGATCATCATTAAAATCCTTCTCATTTATCCTTTCAGCCCCTTAAATTTCAGTACAAGGATCTTTAGAAGATAAGTGGCTCAGGGCATCCTTTCTTCTCTGCAGTTTTTAGCCTGCATTAGACTCATGAAAGGCATTTTTTTCCCCCAAACATCAAGAATCCCATCCCGTTACCTGGATTATTTCAAAAAGCCCTTCAGCCAAAAATCTCCTCTCAATAAAATGAATGGGTAGCTCTGGTTATACATCTGTATCTGAAGAAAGACGTGAGGGATTGTTGAAGAATTCCTTGCTGAGGTACAATGTCTGAGCACCTTGCAGAATGTTGCAGAAAAAAAACCCACAGCCCGATGGTTATACATACACTGCTGCTCCAAACTGTCATGGTGAAGACTGGGGTTCGCCTGTGAGACTGACCCTCTCCAGCAGATTGTAGCCTAGAAGGTAGACACCTTCAGAGCAATATTCGGTCAGAATGAGTATTGCAAGTGGATCTAGTCCTCTGGTGGCAAAAAGAGGTGGAAAAGAGCCATCACGCTTTTCTGGCTCGTGCAGAAGGGTTCTTCTGTTGGCTGTAGAAAGATTCGTGTGACCTGTGGAAAGAAGGAGCAATGTTTTGCTCAGTCAGCTAAAAACTAATGGCAGTATCTGATCTACAGGTTTTGCTGTTGCCACAACACCTATTTTCATCTTCCAAATTAAAGCCAGAATATGCGAATTCTCAGTTTCTCATCAATCTTTCAGTAAAATAATGCCAAATGAAGAATGCTCTATGAACAAGAGTCCCTAAGGAAAATAGCCTTTAAAAAATTAGTCTGTGACAAAATAATTTATTTGTTGTCTTCTTGGAAGAAGTAAAATACTGGCTTACTAATCCACTGCTCGCTGCCAGCAACATGCATTTTCTATATTCTTTATCGCACACAAGGTTCTTGTGGACCAGGAAGGAAAGGAGCTTATGTCTTAGCGAAGTGTGTCAGCTGCAGACTTCTAAGTAAAGAGTCTTCTGTAATTGCCACAGCTGAATGAAATCATCAGTTGCCTGTGACTCATGTTTTTCAAATTACACGGATTTGACCCTGTATATTAATAATGCTTGTTTTTATTAGAGAACTTAGTCCTTTTGCACAGGGCCTATGGCAAGAGTCCATCTAACCTGCTGTCTGCTCTGTTGGAGGTTTGTTGCAATGCACATCCTTACAAGCGCATTCTTAATGTGAACTTTTTTCAGCCACCAAAGGTCGAGAGTCTAAATGGCTTGCTGCTGGGATACCGGATCTACTATCGGGAGCTGGATTATGACACCGGATCTGGAACAGAATCCAAAAGCATCAAGAACCCCTCAGCTTTGCGAGCGGAGCTCACACGTAAGTCTGTGTTTTGGACTCTGTAGTATCAAAGAATGGTAATCCATCATTATGCTAGACAATAAGTGCCACCATAGCCCGCGGAAAGGACACAGAATTGTGTCTAAGAGTTCTGAGGGAAATTCAGCTTTTACGCAATCAGGGTGAAGATGCTGAAAAAGGCTAATAACTTTGATCAGCATCACTTGTAATGATCAGCAATCACTTCTAATCTATGCCAATGTGCTTAAAGTGACCTTCTGTCTTCCATGTGGCCTCTGAGTACCTGCTGTCTGCTACTTCTGTCTCATGTTTGCCTGGTTTATTCTGCCTTCAGACAAAAAAGGGAGGGACTGCATTTTCATCCACTGGCATGTGTTTTCTTTCCTACTACTTTTTAATAGCTTTTATAACTCATGTTTTGTTTTTCCTTTTGCAGTATAAGAAATCACCTGAGGAGAAATTTTAAATAGAATTTTAAAAATTTCGAAGTGTTTGTTATTATTTTGGAAGAAAATAGCAAAAACGAGCAAGAAGTTTAAGCTGCGTGTTTGCCTTGTTAGTTACTGGGGTTTTGACTCACATGGAAAGAAGATGGAGAGGGAGAAAACTAATAGAAAAATGAAAAGATTTTTTAGATGAAGACTAGAAAGAAAATCAGAGGGAAGAACAGGCAGAATAGGATGATGGGAGACAAAGATGAGAGCGCTCAGCAGGAGCCTGACAGATTGGGCCCAGCAATGCGACACGCTCACAGAGGGACCAGCTTTTGTCCTGGTTGACATCAGTGGAATATTCAGAATAGTATTCTCTCTGAGAGTGGCAGAATATGGCTGAGGAAGACTATGTGAATATCTTACATCATCTTCTGTGTTTACCAGAACCCATAAAAGTGGTTTCTACAAAAAAAAAAAGAGTGATTTTTTTTGTGTATGTGGGAAAAGTGGATGTTTTAAATATAACCTAAGCATCTAACTCTAACCTCATTTACATCGTCAGGCCTGAATGAAAGTCCTAGGAGTGAACGGACTTCCAGCCAGGAAGAAGTAGAAATGTAACAATCCTAGAGCTATAGGTGTGCATAAAGGTTTTTTCTAGGCAAAAGCTGAAAGAATGGCAGTGTATATTATCATAAAGTGGTGACTTTGGGTGCTCTCTAGTCTAACATGACAGGGAGCCTGGAAAACCTATTGGTCCTCTCTGTCCCTTTTTCTTGGCTGGCCCTGCAGCTATATTCCTGATAGCGATATAGTAGAAAATATCTTGCCATACTTCTCCAGGGCGCTAGAGAGAGAGAGAGAGAGAGAGAGAGAAGTGGAGACAGAAGTACTTCAAGAAAAATTTCCTTCTTCTCTCCTGATAATATGACAGTTCTCACCTCAGTACACCTCTGTTCCACAATGACCTGCTGATTTGCACAGTTTAGCATGTTATTACAATTCATTCAC